CGAATATCCAAATTAATCGAACAGACGTACTAATTTAAAACAAAAAATGTTTCTCTATAATTATTTTTAAAAAACAAAGTAATATTGCAAAAAAATTGAATTTGAATTTATTAAGTATTTTAAAATAAGGAAACATTTTATGCATTGTTATTGTTAAAAATTGTTATTTGTTATTACCTAGTAATCATTCGAAAATATATCCAGAAGCAGATTGTTATTTTCCGATGCTTTGGTAAAGACCTGCACACAACAAAATGCAAAATGCACACTTAAAAATACGGTTGCACATATGCGAGCTTCAGCGGTCAGCGGCAGTTCGCCAAGAAAGAGTCCATAAATCTGTCACTTAAAATTAGCACATGCTGCAATCACTGCAGGCGGATGACAAACGGACAGCGGATGCATACGGCACATCATTTTGCAATACATCTAACATGCCACATTTACATGCTTTGTGTATCACAACTTGTGTCTTGAGTGTATTTAACAAATATATCGGTACTAAATTAGTACCGATTATTTTTTTAGCGTGAAATGAAAAAGGTTAATATTTATTTATGCAAAACAAATAAAAATTTGAGTATTAGTACTACTAATACTCAAATTTTGGCATAAATAAATATTAACTTTTTTCATTTCACGCTAAAAAAATAATAAAAATAAAAAAATTATTTTAAGGATTAAGGATTTTGTACACTGTATAGTGTTCTTGCCTGCATCATAAACGTCATTATACGCACTGAAAACTGTTCGTAAAAACGCATTCAAACAGCGCGTGTTTTAATAAATAACAAAAAATGTTATTATTCATTTAAATTTTTATTCTTAACAATATTATAAAACGGGTAGATAAAATCAGTTTGTTTTATTCAATTTTACATAAATTGACGTGAATCGAAATGTCACAATTAAATACCTATTTATTGCAGGGACCCGGACCAGACCGTTTTTGGACAGAAAACCGGACCGGAACCGGTATTTATTTGTAGACCGGAACCGTAACAATAATAATAATAATAATAATAAGAATCTTTATTGGCCCAAACGAAATACAATAGTATTTATAGGACAGGTCAAACATAATGTATAAACATTACAAAAAGCACAAGATTGTACAAAACAAAATTAAAAGTATAGAAACAATAAAAAAATCAAAACAAAAAAATAAACAAAAAAACTAGTTCAATTCAAATAAATCGCCAGGCCCGTATGGACATTTATTATTAGTCATTAAACATTTTTTTAGTTCTTTATTAAATTTGTTAGGATTTGTAATTGTTTTTATTTTACATGGTAAGCTATTGTAGGCTTTTATTTCAGAGTAATAAGGCGATTTCTCATACAGAGTAGTTGAGTGTCTCGGAACCGAACCCATATTATTTTTAAACGTAACGCTAGTGACCGGTTTTTTTCTTAATTTCTTTTTGCAAAAATATATTTTGTTTTGTTAAAAAAATCTATAAAATTTTTGCAAAAAAATATTTGATCACGGGCCATAAATCTATAAATTTTACACTCTAGCATAAGTATTATTAGGGATTCCTGCTGTGTTAATAACAATTGTAAATGTTGTATAAATAATTATTATAAATGAAAATTAAAATAACTTTATTGGAAAAAGAAAGATGTCATATGTATACACATATATTATATAGTACTAGGCAACACTGTAATTTATAAACCCCCACTACAAAATATCCCACCGACTGCGCCATAAAGTAAATAATACCAGAGTAGGTTGAAGACTAATTTATTAAAATGACTAGCATGTAGGTGTATGTATCTTGACTAGCATGGGTGGTAGGTACATTTGTAGTGGGGATTTATTAATTACAGTGTTGCCTAGTATTATGTATACATATGATATAAAAGGCTATTTTCCGGTCACAAATTTTTACTTTCCTAGAGGAACAATAATTTGTGAGAACCAACATAATTTTTGGAGAAAAAGAAAAACAAAGTTTAAAGTTCAATTTATTTTTGGATAACTTATTTTAAATATGAATTTTCCAGTTTTTTAATCGGAAGATCAGAATAAAAGTTTAGAAAAAAGAATGAAGAGCCTAAAATTGAAGAACCTGATTTGAAAAAAAGAATAGACAAAGTAATTTAATTACATGCCAAGTTTAAGAAACGAGTTTTGTAATGGACGAGTGCTATTTTTTCTATTTGACAAAATTTTTAGAATAATGTCGAATAATAATTATTATTAATATTGAGGTTCATAAGTTTTTTCTACAGTTGGTGTCAGTTTAACTGTGTCAAAATTCTCTTAAACAATATGTATTGTCTACAAACTAAGCAATAATAATGAAATATCTTGTTGCCAGTGGCAGCAATAAGGGGCCCGCAGGGGGCAGCTAAAGAATGGGCCCCTTTGACCTCCTTGCTAAAATTCATAATTGCTTTAAATAAATAAAAAAAAATTGTTAAGAAAAGAAAAGAGGAGCCTGAAATTAAAAACTAATCTTATTCCAAAATAAAACTATATGAATCAATCATAAATATATTCTATCAAAAGGACATTTTTTGATGAACTTGCAACCGCCACTGAAATAGAAGATTCTCTAAGAAGTTTTCAAATTAAAGTCTTTTACGAGTCTATTGATATAAAAATTAATCAACTCAGAACACGATTTATCAGTATGAACAAAGTAATGAGCTATTTTTTTTATTTTTAAATCCAGATGCTTTTGTTAAATTATCTACCCAGAAATTATAGATCATGCCGAAAACATATTGGAAAAATACGGAAATGACTTCTACAATAATTTATCCACCCAATTAACAAACTTTCAAAGTGTATTTTTAAATGAAATTCGAAAAATAGATTTAAGCCGGGTCTACAATTGTCGCAGGTCGGAGATCGCAGAACATAAGCTTGCGCAAAGCTGACAAAAGAACCTTTCTCCATCGCCATGGCGTGCACGTCGCGGGGTGCTTTGCGCAAGCTCATGTTCTGCGATCGAACCTCTGCGACAATTGTAGACCAGGCTTTATGTTCTGCGATCTGGGACCTGCGACAATTGTAGACCCGGCTTTAGAACTGTTGGTCGATATATTTTTAAAACAAAAACATCGCCGTTTTGGCAATTTAACAGTACTTCCTTAAACTTTCTATTCCCCGATCTATTAACTAGCAAAAAACAGACAGATTTTAGCGATGGTAATATTTTATACTTATACAATTAGCAAATTACTGTATTTGTATTATTTGTGGCTTAGACACGTAAATTTTGTAATATAAATATATTATGTAATATACAGGGTGTCCCAAAAACGATATCCTTTGAAGGACTAATAGGTCAGCTCATGACTAATCAGAATATCAAAACATGACATTCTTAGATTATATTTTATTTTGCGTAACTCTGAATAGGATAATTCGAAAAACTGATCTAAGGTGTCAAGTTTTACAAAATTTATAAAAATGACTATCTCAAAAACGAACGATTTTTTACTAAGGTCATATTTTGATTTTCTGCTTAGTCATGAGTTGGTCTATCAGTCCTCCAAAGGATGTCGTTGACTTTTGGGATACCCTGTAGTAAATGATGTCCCATTTATAAGTACGCCACAATACTGAATATTTTACAGGTACCTATATAGAAAAACTTAAAATAAAATCTAAAGATATATCCGAGTTTTTTTCTTAAAATTTAGCATCTTAGATAAAATTCCAGTATTTCCAGATTTTATTGCCCATGTATAAATGTCCTGGAAAAATTTGGCGGGAGGGCCGAATTCTTATCGCCGCCACTGGTTGCCATGTTTGTAAAAATCTTTCATGATAATTGTCACAATTAAATTGTGCGATAAAGTGACACATTGTATAACAGAAAAAAAAGTATTTATAAAATGCCTTGTCTTCATTTAGTACTACTTAGCAGATAATTTCATAAAAATATTAATATTTTAAATAAAACTTTTTTTCTACTCCCACCTTTAAAACGCCCTTTATCGTACATGTTTCTATGACACTAAGTGACCTTTTAAATACACATTGACAAGTTGTGGCTTTATGGTGCTTTAGTCACGGGCTGAAGTTAGCAACAGGTTTTTAGTCACGGGCTGAAGTTAGTTTTAAGTTAGTTGACAGTTGTCAAATGTCATACAATCGTTTAAATAAGGTGCCTTTCTTGTAAAATAATACAAAATGTGAAAATTATTTTATTATCTCAAGACAAAAATAAAAAAGTATTAAATAGTTTCTCAACGCCAATATTTGAAAAGTTTATATGAACATGGTACTCCTTTTAATTTCGCCGGCAGTAAACTATAACTTAAATTCGGACACGGACTCCACTGTAAAGTGCTCATAAAAAATTTTCTTTACTTTAACTGTGAAAAACTGTCAATTTTCAAGAAATACATTTCGATTTATAACCTTTATAATCTGTGTTTATAAAATTTGACATTTGTCACACAGATTCCCCTATTGTTTCATAGATGTCGCTCTATACAAATTTTTTATTTAAATCATTTTTAGATAATAATAAGTATTTGTCGTAGAAAAAGTATAGTATGCACCTCGTTTATAAACTTTTCTATACACTCATTAATTTAAGCACTCGCTCGCAAGCTCGCTCGTGCCTAAATTAAATTCGTGTATAAAATGGCGTTTATCAAACTTGATACATAACTATTAACATATTCAAGTTTAATTTAATAAAATTTGGACTGTATACAGACCCTATAGGGTCAAAAAGTTTAAAAATTATCTTTTTTTTTTAAATATTTACGCTTATATTTGATTAAATGCGATATTTTTAAAATCTATATCAATAAATTCTAAAGTTTGAAAACATCCGAAATCCCAAAATGTGCCTTATGAAATGATTTCATTGAAATCCCTTGATAGAAGTAAATATAATACGTGTATTTGTCAGTATGGTTATTTTTGGCACATGTCAGCAAGCAATAGGCAGTAAGTTCACAACTATTTAGTAGGTAATTGTATAATAGAAGGCGTCTTTTTGACAGCATGCGTCTACACATACCTGAGGCATTGTCATATGCGGAGGCGTCTGCTGTTGGCCGGCGTTCTCATACCGTTGGAGACGTGCCACCAGCTCGGCAATGTGGTCCAGCAGCTCCTTGTTATGGATCAGCAATTGCTGCGTCGTTTTTTGAGCTTCTCTTCTAGCACTCTAAAAAAATAAAAAAATTGTAGGGATTATCAAAAATAATACAGGGAAACGGTATGGAAACATACCACTATACGTTATGCCGAATAACTAAATTCAACTATTTATGGAAATAGAACTATTAACGAAACTACTGATACTGAAAATATCATGAACAGATTGACACGGAAACGTTTGATATAAAAATGAAACTATTAGTCTCCTCTAAAGGACAAATTGGGAACACAGCGGTCGGGTATAGAACAAAACAAGTAACGAAACAGTATCGAAAATAAAAACAAAACAAAAATGAGCGTGAACCAAACTATAGGTATATCTAAACTTTAAGGTATGAAATGGTAACGAAACTTTAAAAATGGAAACGAAACTTTTTGAAAAATGAGAGTTGTCAGAACGATGTTATTATTTGAGTAGGTAAAGGTTTAGTTTACCTTCTAAACCAATAATTATTATTAATTATTATTAAATTATAATTTATCTACATTTACATTGATTTCCTATCGCCAACCCGCTCAAGCCATTTAGTTGGCTTCTGGAAGACCTCTTAGGAAGAGCATATAATTTGTATTTAATCTAGTGGAATTCACTATTTACATTTAAACATAACTATTTTATTTTTTTTGAGAATTGACTATAATGTTTATTAGCCTTTCGAAATTGGACATTTTTTATTTTATATATTTTTTCCGGGTGTATTATAAGACCAAAAACGTATGAGGAACCGAAACCGGAGGCGGAATGATAGACGTCAATTTCGTGCAAAAAAGTGGCTTTATATTCGAGTTGCATACATTATTTATAATACCATAATAATTTCATAAATAATTACTAAAAATGTGAGTCTTTTAGTGCTGATCTAAAATATTGTCCGACGCGTTAGCGACGGCCTACAGTTAAACGAAGCACGGAAAGACACGTCTTATCCGAATAGCATAGAACGTTTTATCCTCAGTTTTTTTAGCGATATATAAAACGGACTTACAATTAAGGTAAGGTTAGATAGCTTTAGATGTGTCAGCACTTAAAGAATTTTTTGATTGATGCAAACGGGTCTTTTACAGACATGGATAAATAATTTTTACAGCCTAGGAGATAATCAAATACTTTGGTAGTGAGCGTTGACAATAAAATAGATTAAATTATAATTTATTCCATATATGGAATTCTTGAAGATAAAAATTATTTATCCGTGCTGATTTAATTGCAGTGCAAAAAATACTTTTTTACACTAAAATGTCAACAAAAAAACGACTTTTTGACAATGGTATTAAAAAATATATATATCACAGAATATTAAAGTGTAACTTCTGAAACATATACATAATTATCAAACTATTTTTGTCTGCAATCGTTCATACCGCATATATTTGATGCCTGAAATATGGCACCAGACAGGCGCAGCATTTTTTTGGCAATGGATAGGGAACTGGAGCTATGTATGAGCAAGTAGAGTGCTATCTTTACTCCGTATAGCTTGCTCTTAATACTATTCAAGTGGCGTTAAAATTTAGGCCTTCATCAAGATAAACGCCCAAATAGTTTAAGTAATCGTGTTCTGTGACACTGAGGTTGTCAATCTATACACCCTTAAAGATCTTTACGAACATGAATTTTCGAGAAAATTTTACTAACTTTGATTTAGTTGGATTTATCCTGATAAGTCCCCTGTACCAGAAGACTTTTAGGATTTCAAGATAGACCGTCACCTTCTTGTTTTACACTAACGACCCAAATGAATGCGTTTATAGCGCCGTGTCGTCAGCGTACAAGGCTAGCCTACATTTCTCGAAATTTGGGAGATGTGATGTGAACAAGGTGTACAGATTCGAAGCTAACACAGTGCCTTGAGGAACACCAACTTTCACAGCGAAGGCTGTGCAAGTTGTTGTTCAAGTTCCCTGTACTCTTACCCGAAAGGATCTGTGGCGCAAGTATGAATTGAAAAGTTTGGTGTAGTGAAGCGGTCACTTAAGTGAGCTTGTAGACAAGACCGCCCGTTAAAATGGTGTCGAATGCCTTTTCCATGTTCCACTTGGTGAACGGTGCTATGTCCGAAAACTTGCCTACTGAGCTACCTCAGTGGGTAACAAGCATAGAATGCTAGGTCTTTAGCTCTTCGACATTATTTTTTTATATATTTTTTTACCGTTACCATTACAAATTAAATTATTATTATTATAATTATTAAAATAAAAATAACAGGTAAACCCGGATTTACAAATTTCACTGTATTATCAAACTAAATAAAAATGTTCTTATTTGAGTAATCGCTACTTGTACTGTAAAATAATTAGATAGATACTTACATGAATTTAAACATATCTGTAATTAATAAATAATGAAACAACTCCAGCTGTCGCTTGGTTAGACTAATGTAACTAATTTGTTCACAGATACGAATAGTGTTGCTTGCACATCCATTGACCTTTATCACTAACGAAATATCAGTTGCTCTCTGGTTCGTATTTTGACAATGACAATGACTACTACAAATAATTTATTTGAGCTATCAGCAAATTCATTCATGAAAAACAGTCAAAAATCAGATACCGTAACATATTTACATTATATCCATTTATTACTTAATTTTTTAAAATAGTTTAAACAAGTTAGAAAAACTTGTTTTCCGAAACCTAAATAACGTTTGTATTTACAAATTAAACTTTTATTTGATATTATATAAATAATATTGGGCACCGAAAAATGTCCTATATATAGTACACTACGTGTAAAATATAACAATTAATTTTTTAAACATATTTAAAAAATATGAACTGATAAGATACAGCGCGCTGCAGCGTTTTAAATATGAGGTGGCTAAAAAATGGTAAAGTTTATGGTATAACCGAAAAATATAGAAACAATTAAACAAGACCAGCATAGGTAAGAAACTAAACATTAGTTACCAAACAGAATATACAAGGGCGATACTAGGGTACTTTGGCACTTTAGCACTGCCACATGATTTAACAGTGTACAATTTAATGGACCAAATTTTATTCTGTTTTTAAATCTCAAAATATTAAAATGTTGTTTTGTTTCGGTATCTGCAGAACTCTCTTATTAGTTTAAAGTCTGGTTTAAAAAAAGCTTATAAAAATCACTCTTTATTATTTTTGCCCAGAAACCACAAAACTCATTTAACAATAGATTAATGGCTTTAACCAAAAATATCATTATAAAAATGAATTTTATTAAACCAAATATGCTCCATATGGAGAGTACCTAAAGGACTTTAAAGGTTAAAATTTTACTATGCAAACATTAAGATGTATTTGTTAGTTTGTCTTTTTTAATCCACTAAATTTGTATTCTGATTCTAACCTTTTCTGCGGCCAATTTGCCCATGGTAAGCTGTAGCTGTGCCATCGCAGCTTGCGTTTGTTGCGACTGCTGTTCGAGCTGTTCCTTCATGAGCTGGATCTCGTGGTGAGCGGATAAGTTGCTTCCAGCGGGTGGAAGCGATCCGCTACCACTTCCCCCGCTGCATCCACTAGTTAAAGCGTCACTGTGTGGAGACGAATATGTTTCTGCACATGTCTAAAAAATATATAAATATTTAATTTAAAAAATAACAAATTATTTAAAAAATTTAGGAATATTCTTTAAAAATTAAGATAAAATATAATAACAAAACCTAATAACATAATAAAATATCTGAAGGTGTTTCTTGAAATTTGCGACTACTATAGAATTTGGTTTCTATCGAAAGTGATTAACCACCCAAGTAACACAAATGCCCTTATTTCGATCTCCAAGGTCGCTCTAAAACTATACAATAAAATTTTGAACAAATCCAAATGATCTTCAAGACAGCCTTAGGCCATCATAAAGCAGCTTTTAGCAAAAAAGGGCCAATCCTAAAAGGGTCTTCAGGACTAAATTTTAAAACTAAAGATTAAAACTGTTTTATTTGCTTCGTTTCAATTTACCTTTACCAGAGTTGTTACACGTTTTGGTTGAAATATTTGTTTTGATATATCAAACTACCCACAATGAGTATATGTATGAGTATAAGAGTGGTAAACCTGTCCCCATTGCCTCATCTCTTCCGAGGCCCGCACAAGCTTTCGTTACCCTACGACAATTTTTTTCCGCCACAAGCAAATGCGCGGCTTTACCCGTGTTTGCTCGGTGCGAATGCCCATCGCGTCCTGTACTGTACCTATTTGGGGCTTAAGAGCAACATGCGAATAGTTTGAATAGGCTCTCTCGGCTTTGCTGGATCATTGCTTACGCCCAGTAGGATCAAAATGAGATAGGGACGGGGGATAGACCTTTTGGTGTTCAGAGGGCAATTATGCCGACCCAAATCTGGGAATCCCCCTAGACCGGGACGTTAGTATTACTACAGACATGTGTGATTTCTGTTTGCAATTGGAGAGTTGTTAGATCGCTAGCTTGGTGCTAGATTATAAAAGTTTTGTACCGAATTATAATTCCGAATGTGTACATTTGCTGCCCTGTGGGAATTCTCTTTTTCTTGCTTGGTTATTTTGTTTTCCTGCTTTAGATGCGTTTAAGACGCTTAACCTCTTCTAGAGGGTTAGTTTTGTTGCTTCGATCCACTTAACCCTCTCTTTGGTTTCTTTGAGAGAGTGGCACATTGAATTCACATGCACAGGTAGTGTAACTGATTTCGTACATTATTCACTTGTTGGGAGGTTGTATTGCATTGCTCTACTGTATTAGCGTTTTGCTGATTCTGTAAGACTTCGGGAGACTACTTGCACAGGTAGTGGTCCCAGGCTCTAATTTCGCACACTTAAAATTGCACACTACACTGTGTGCGATTTACTGTTTCTGTTAAGGCTTTTAATTCTTCCGTACTCTTTAAAAGTGATCGCGTGCGCCTCTGTACCTTATAATGACTAAATTCGTACTTATATATCAAACTACCTAAATTTAAAAAAAATGGTGTAGGTATATTTCAGCAGAAAAAAACCAATTAATTTTTATTTACGGATTTGATTTCTGTGCTCGTAGAGGCATAAGAGGCATCCAGTCAAAAATGTAGTTCATTAAAACGTCAGTAACCTAATGAAAAAATTTAGGTTCAGTGTACAACAGAAAACACACAAGATCGAGTTCCAAAAGTAGCTACTTTAACAAATATTTTTGTTGATTCCATTCCTAAGGTGCTAAAAATAAATAATTTGTTCCCCTAAAAAATTCAAATGTGCCAGGAATTCAGCGAAGATGACTACGACAGAACAATCCAGTTTTGTGAGGAAATAATGAAAATAATTGCTCACAATTAAATATTTGTTTTAGCAATGAATCTACATTTTTCTTAATGGATTTATAAATAAACAGAATAGTAGGAACTAAAACAATGAAAATTCATACAGTATTCTCAAAAACTCAATGTATGGGCAATAATGTTAAGGTTGTTTGACAAAGTGTGTCAACGGCGCGCCGAGGCGTTCGCAACAATTTGGTTTTACCAAATACTTAATAGGGCGAATTTGAAGACATATACGAAGGTGTAGAAGGGCCAACAACAATTGTCTTTTTTTATTATAATTTTTAATCGACAATTTTTGATCCGAATGACAATTGTCGACCCGAATGACAATTATCGATCCTAATGACAATTGGCGACCCGAATAACAATTGTCGATCCGAATGACAATTCGCGACCGGTACGAATATTATCTCTTCCAGTAAGAAGTTTACAGTTCGTATGGTCCACTGTTACATGCGTAAAAGTTTACTGTGAAATAAAAACAAGGATATTTTTGGTAACCAGTGATATACAGTGATTATAAAATTTCTTCAAAATATCCATGGAGTATCGATAAGTTTACGAACACTAAAAATACATCTACAGAGGATCCGTCTTTTCAGAAGGACTTTCAGCCCTTTGACTTTATAGATGCTGCTGTAACTACTGCTCAAATGGTTGAATATTGATGCAAAATATGGTTCGACAAATACTGCATGTGTTAGATCCTCAAGGGATGGAACTTGGAACGAGGCGATATTACGTCAGCGGCATTATACCAACAGAGGACCTAATTATCTTTGGAACATGGATTCTTACGATAAGTTAAAAAGATATGGAATTTGTATTAATTGATGTATAGACGGTTATTCGAGCATATAATATTGCGTAGAGCAAGTTCCACTTCCAAGTCATTGCAAATTTTTATTTAGATGCAGTTGGAAGCTTGGAGGGTTGTCCTATTACTATACGAAGCGAGTGCAGCACTGTTTTCTAGAAATTATACAGGTGAGTATGCTTACCTTGCAATTTATACTAAGTAGGTAGGTATACATTTAAAGGAATAGATAAATAAAGAGTTTAAGGGCAAGCAACACTACTATTTTAATATACCTTAAAAGAAATCAAAACTATTATATAGGGGATTCAAACTTGAATTATGACATTTAAACTCTTTGATCAACGCGTGTTTGGAATCTGACCACTTCTACATGTATATACAGAGCTTGCAAATCCAAGTCCGACCGGGTTGGGAAGGACGGTTGTTCAATACCCGCGTGAAAAGAACAAGGATAGAACGCCAAAAAAAATTCGTTGGTCAGAGCCACTTCCACCACCTGTTTGGCGTTCTATCCTTGTTATTTTCAAGCGGGTATTGAACAACCGTCCTTCCCAACCCGGTCGGACTTGGATTTGCAAGCCGTGTATATAAAACACGCATTGATCAAAGAGTTTAAATGACCTAATTCATTCCTGAATCTCCTAAATAATAGTTTGTTAAAATGAATGTTTAGACGATTTTAAAATTCATTTTTTATTATAGTAAACTTAAACTTATATTTTAATTTCAGAGAGATTTGGATCAAGTGGCATTTGAATGGAATACGCATAAAATAAAACGTTCTCGAAATGCAAGAGGTCCAACAGGACGTCCAATTTGTATGTTTGAACTAAAAGAGAACTACGGATGTACGAATTGTTTAGTATATGTTCCTGAAGAGGTGATCAACGTCTTACAACGAGATAGATTAGATAGGTTAAAAGCGAAGTACCCTTTTTCGATAAAGATGTAAAAAATATTTGCGACTGTATTCTCTGGGAACTAGAATATGATAGACCCAATACATGTAATGCAGCAGATTCAATCTATTTATATTGTACATTAAGGACTAAAATTTTAAATTTATAACAAGCAGTTTAAATGCAATGTAAATGTAAATTGTTTCTGGTGCAAGGTACCATTTAAAAAAAAACATATTTTACAAATTTATTTTTAAAATAACACATGTTTTGATGTTACACACACTCAAAAATTAAAAAAACTATTATGCAAAACTAAATACACATTTTGCTAGATCTAAAAGGGTTAACTGACGTTATACCATCACAGTTAACTTCTTACCAGTGTTGCCAACAGTCTATTGTAAAAAGTCTCAACCAAGCTCTTCAAAAGTCGCCAGAAATCGCTAAATTATTTGGCACTTAAAAATCGCCAGATGTCGCAAATTTAAAAAAAAAGAGAAAAAAAAAGTTTAAAGTGGTTGCAAAATTTTAAACAGAATTGATTTTTCATAAAGAAAGATTTTTAACGTGGTTGTAGTAAAGGACACTAGAAAATGGCATTATCTTATAATTACACAAAAATAATTAATAATTATAATTGTTAACAAATATTTTATTTAAATAAAATAACATAAATCATTAAAAAATCAAGTCATTCTAAAATAAGAAAAATAAATAAAATATATAAAAATAAATATTTCTTAAGACCTGTAAATAAAAAAATTAAAAAAAAATAGTTTATTAATAAATTTTCCTCGAAATTTTCAAGAAATTCAGTCGATTTTGCATCGTCATTAAAATAAGCCTGCAAAGGATGACGTACGGATGCGTCGTTGCCAAGTTGGCCAAGTTGGCCATGCCAACGTAACAAATTTTAATTTGAAATTTTTTAAACTAGAAATTATTTTGTTGTTTTGTTTAAAAACAAATTTCATTATCAATGTTAAAATGTCTCCAAAAATGTCGCCAACACAATGTGAAAAACGCTAGGTTTGAGACACGTCGCAAATCATAAAAAAATGTCTCAAATGGCTACCTCAAAACGCTAGATCTAGCGACAAAGTCGCTAAGTTGGCAACGCTGCTTCTTACTGAGATAATAGTCGTATAGGTCGCCAATTGTCATTCGGGTCGACAAATGTCACTCGGGTCGACAAATGTCACTCGGGTCGACAATTGTCGATTAAAAATTCTATTAATAAAAGATAATTGTTGTTGGTCCTTCTACGCCTTCATACATATATCACGATTCTTACAATATTTAATTTTAAAGGGAAAATTCTTGGACTATTTTTGTTTATCGAAAATTTAAAAAAGGGAAGTTGCAATAAATATTTGTTTTAGGTATAATTTTAATAACTACAAACTTTATTAAATATTTTTTTTTTGTTATCACCAGACAATTGTTCACCTTTTATATGTACCTAGGTATACAAATTAGTTGTTCTTATGTCAGTTAATTTAAAATAAATAAACTGATTTATGTTAACTTTATATTTTAAAACTCCATTTCAAAAATATTTATAATAAAA